TTATGAAATAATGCGACGTACATTTAAATTTATTGATGTCATCTGACATTTTGTAATGTTTACATTACAATGACAAAACACTGGAAATAAATTAAATTATACAGTAGTCGTAGACTGCTATCTACCTTTGATTTGGCAGCAATCATGTAAAAACATAACAAGCCAGCAAACGCGATAGGCAACTTTATATTATAAAGTACACTTGACATATAGTTATTATTAACCTATTACCATCATCAGTAGTTCAGTAGACTATGCAGTAACGGGAGTTATGGTTATTTATATGACAGTGCACGTACACCACAGCGGCTCTAGGGGTCGCTGTTTCACAAAAACATCAAAGCTGCATAGTGTGCCTTTAAATGAATCAAGCAAGCTGATTTATTAAGGTTTACGTATGTCAATTTGCATTATTTTCAGCCCCCAAACGCATGTCTTAAACTAGATGCTAATTTGCACTGCTCTGGGTAGATTGCGTTGGTTATTATGGAAATGATCCAGCTGCGTCTGTGTACTTTAATTTGCAGTCCTCAGTAGGTTTAATCGTCAATAGATCATGAGCAGAGCATTCCACTCCCATCGGCACTTTTTTGGAATTGCGCTCTCTCACGCTAATTAATCAGTTTCACTTTTTCACTATTGCAACCACTATCAACGGCAATATGAATCCGCAGCAGTCAGGTGGTATAGCGGTCACGTGGTACAAGGCGGAGCTCTCAGAATATTAGAAATTTACAAGTTGTAATTAAGGGCTCCACAATGACCTGAACGCTTTTTACACTGTAAAAAAATATTGATGGTTTGACTTAAAAAAGTAAGTAACCTGGTTGCCTTAAAATTTTAAGTTCATTGAACTGGAAAAAGTGAGTTAATACAATGAAGGAGATTAATTTAACCATCAGAAACTCAAAATTATATGTTATCTGAACTAAATAAATTATTTAAGTTGATTTGACAAAAGAAAAAATGTTGTGATTACTACACTGTAAAAAAATATTGTTGTTTAACTTAAAAAAAGTAAGTAACCTGGGTTGCCTTAAAAATTTAAGCTGATTGAACTGGAAAAAGTGAGTTAATACAATGAAGTAGATTAATTTAACCATCAGAAACTCAAAATAATAAGTTATCTCAACTAAATAAATTATTATAAAGTTGATTTGACAAAAGAAAATATGTTGTGATAACAAATATTGAAAATATTTTTTACAGTGTACAAGTTGAAATCTCCCAATTACGGTCCTTACGACATGGCATGAACACGCCTGTTGAAAGGTGCTTGGTTTGAAAGTGACTTCTGAAAGAGTGGTATTCCTTACATCACTAGTGATAGTGGGGAAATTTCACACAAAATTTGAAATGAAATGTCACTAATGGGACCTCACCTTAATTGGTAAGTCACAGCATTGAGTGTTCTGATATTTCTCCCGGTTGCACTTGCAATTACTGGATTTCGCTCCGTGAATGTGACCACAGCCGACTCGCTCGCTCTCTTGTTTTAGTATACAGGCGCAACTGCCGCCATCTTGGGTCTCGGTTATTGAGTGTATTGACAATGACCTTAGATGACCTGTCCACTCTGCAGCATGTAACACGATGACTAGCTGGATGAGTGGATGTGATTTCCTCCCAAAAACCAGTACAGCGCAAACTCCACCCTGCAGCCAATTCAAAAGATTTAATTACTGATGTAAATCACAGTGCTGATTACCTACACAACGCTGCCTACGACAAATACTAACCCTCAAACCTCCATTACGCACCAATATTAACCTGGTTTTGGAAATGCATGAAATACACATTGGATTTAATCCAGAACGCCATCATGATACATCTTGATTAAGTGTTGCTGCTTGTTTTGTACATTGTATTGGACTTGTTTTCTCTTAGAGGACCATTTAAGGTAATAAATAAGTAAAAATATATTTTTATACAATTTTTCTTTTTACTATTTCAGGGCAGGCATGTATTAAGTGTAAATTTGGTGTAAATGTAACTTAAGCAACAAGAAAAATGATGTACAGTATGAAACTACCACTATGCTATAGCTATGGTACCAAATTCCAATTTTAACCATATTCATTATTAATTTGAAGCTTTTGCTTTTATTTTAGGTATCACATTTTGAAGCAAAATGAAAATATGCATGGCTAAGCTTCAGCAAGTAATGAAGACAGAGACGGCAGAAATTCCAATCAATACACTGTCTGCGTGAGCATAGCGCTGTGGCCCCGTCTTCACTTGAGGTCGGTCTCTAGCTACATGCAAGAAAAAGAAATTCATTAAACACACAAATATTTCAGCATCTCTAGGTCAGACTGCAATCTAGACTCCTAATTGTTGAAAATGAGATGGCTGCTGACTGGAAGCTGCGTAAGCTTCATTTAATGTTTCTCTATGCATTGCAAACCTCATTATAGAAAATGTAGGCATCGCAGTATGCATTATGGTTTCCAAAAGCTAACAGGGGACATGGCAATTATAATTCTGTTTACATCATTTAAAAGATAGCAGTAATGTAATTCAGTTCAGATAGAAAATGGGAGAATTTGAGGAGTGTGAAATGTGAATCATAGATATAGTGTATAAAGAGATTGTCAGGATGCAGATCTCCTGCTGTGTACCGGAAAGCTAAAGCATAAGTCCCATGAAAGCTAAGGGTTGGATAAGGGAAATAAAATGCTAATGCAATACCTCAAAGTTTTTACAAACAGTTCAGTTGACTCAGTGTTTGAGCGAAGTCCTCTGCTGTAAATTTAACATTCAAGTTAAAGGAGCACTAATCAGCAGTTCTCTTCTATATGGAGCAGGTCAGCTTAGCTAGCCATCACGAGATCATTTTACTCTCTAAACACTGCTCACTCTTATCTCAGTTAAAACAACACACAACACTGAGTAGATACTGTACCTGGAAAACCTTTTAAAATAGCAAAACAATGCTAACAACTCTTTACTTGGCTGAAGTTGCAAAATGTTATCCATCCATCCATCCATCCATGTATCCGTCCTTCTATCTATTCATCCATTCATTGTATCCGTACGTCTGTCTATCTATCCGTACATCTATCTATCTATCTTCAATGTATCAGTGTATCTATCTATCAATCTATCTATCTATCTATCTATCTATCTATCTATCTATCTATCTATCTATCTATCTATCTATCTATCTATCTATCTATCTATCTATCTATCTATCCATCTATCCATCCATCCATCCATCCATCCATCCATCCATCCATCCATCCATCCATCCATCCATCCATCTATCTATCTATCAATCAATCAATCAATCAATCAATCAATCAATCAATCAATCTATCCATCCATCCATCCATCCATCCATCCATCCATCCATCCATCCATCCATCCATCCATCCATCCATCCATCCATCCATCCATGATCTATCTATCTATCTATCTATCTATCTATCAATCTATCTATCTATCTATCTATCTATCTATCTATCTATCAATCAATCTATCTATCTATCTATCTATCTATCTATCTATCTATCTATCTATCTATCTATCTATCTATCTATCTATCTATCTATCTATCTATCTATCTATCTATCTATCTATCTATCTATCTATCTATCTATCTATCTATCTATCTATCTATCCATCCATCCATCCATCCATCCATCTATCTATCTATCTATCTATCTATCTATCTATCTATCTATCTATCTATCTATCTATCTATCTATCTATCTATCTATCTATGATCTATCCATCCATCCATCCATCCATCCACCACCCACACCCATGATCCATCCATCCATCCGTCCGTCCGTCCGTCCGTCCGTCCGTCCGTCCGTCCGTCCGTCCGTCCGTCCGTCCGTCCGTCCGTCCGTCCGTCTATGTATCTATCTATCTATCTATCTATCTATCTATCTATCTATCTATCTATCTATCTATCTATCTATCTATCTATCTATCTATCTATCTATCATCCATCTATCTATCTATCTATCTATCTATCTATCTATCTATCTATCTATCTATCTATCTATCTATCTTCTATCTATCTATCTATCTATCTATCTATCCATCTATCTAGCCATCCATACTTCGGTCCATCCATCCATTTCATCCGTCCATCTGTCCATGATCTATCTATCCATCCATCCATCCATCCATCCATCCATCCATCCATCCATCCATCTATCTATCTATCTATCTATCTATCTATCTATCTATCTATCTATCTATCTATCTATCTATCTATCTATCTATCTATCTATCTATCTATCTATCTATCTATCTATCTATCTATCTATCTATCTGTCTCTGATCAGTGTGGCTATATTCTTCCACAGAGGCAGATCTTAGAGTTTTTTAATACAATGGCAGCTTTTTATTTAGTGGAATTCATGCGGTGCATCCTCAGGCTGCCCACTCAGTAAAAATGTTGCATTATTGATACGTCCGTGTTGCTGCGAGATGCTGTATCTGTATACGCTGAACACATCATAACGCTCTATCTTTTAGAGTGGCTGACCCCTTCATTCTTATTCTCATTGTCTCATCCACCACTTTCACTGAGGTTATTTCCCTGACAGAGAGCATCCGTGTTCTTACAGCCAAATACATAGATTTCCCCTGGGATGAAAGCTTATTGAGCACAATGTCTGATATGCTTGGTCTAACCATATTCCAGGAATATAGCGGAATCTATGGTGCGTAGCTCTCAGACAGATGTACTATTTTATAGATCTTTACTCACGATATATCTTTTTACAGACTCTGCTTGCAGTATCCAATACTTTTTGCGGTGTTAACTCCAGTTTTTTTTTAAAGTCCTTGTCATCAACAGTCAGCTTTTACCTGCATCCAGCAATGGGCCTCGAAAATGAAAGCTGTGTCAAACCTTTCCTGCAAGTTCATAAAAACACCACAATAGGATGTGTGCATTTAGGCATTAATCAGCATTGGAAGTTCAAAAAGCAAAAAAAAAAAAAAAAAAAGCCATGATGCTGCATTCAGCAAACCCAGGATGAAGAAAAAAATGATACAATTTAATGTCAAATCTGCACACAAACCTCATTCAAAATCCTTAAACATGCAAACAGAATTTACAGACACATTGTACAGATTCTGGGTTTGACTTGATGTGGAGACATTCCAAAAAAAAAAAAAAAAAAAAACATACTTAAACATGAACACAACTGCGTTTTCTGAATTGTTCGTTTATGAATAAAACTACTTCATTGGATTTAATGCCAATGCGGAATTTTGGAATTTCAACCCTGTATCACGGAATTCAATGATGATGTGATTTGTTACATCATACTTACCAGAACATCAAGGTCATTCTAAGGCAAAAGAGGCGTTTATTTTAACGTATGAACATCGAGTATGAGCTTATTTGATAATATACTGAAATATGGCTAGCAGGCTAACAGCAGCAGACTCACTGTAGGGTTTATGTGGTACTGATTGTGGCCATGCAGCTTGTTAGTATAGCCCGAACCGTTAATTATAATCAGTTCAATGCGAAAATGTTCAACAAAGCGTGTGAGACTAATTGTGAGTCAACCCTTATGTTGCCTTACGCTTTTTGGAAATTATGATTATTTAAGCAACAACTCCTTCACACACATAATAACCCACATTTAATGAATACACAAGTATACAGTATCTGAAATATAAAATATCAATAATATTTGCCTCCAAATAAAAATAATAAGTTCATACCCTGACACAAAACTTGCTTGGCTACATGATGACACAGAAAACAGTGTTTATCTTCTTGGAGAGGTTGCATTTACAAAAAAAAAAAAACAAAAAAAAAAAAACAGCAAACCTTCTGGCAGCTCGATGGTCGCCAATGATTTGCAAAGATTCCATACAAAAACACCTCACAAAAGTATACACAACTTGCATGATGGATCAGTTACAGCACGCAAAACAAACTAAGCCTTGTAAAATTATGTGAGTATGACTGAGAGTTTGACAATAACACATTAATTAAAAAAAATGTCCTTCGGGTGCCGTTATGCTGTGCCTTTTCCCTTCCTCTTCCTTTTGACTGACCTTTTGTGAGTGCTTGTCCAACAAATAAATTGTCCGTGGTCCATTACGCAGTGCTCTGATTGTTTCCCTTGATTTCCATGGAGACCCTCGCCTTGCGTCCAGAGTATTCTCCGATAAAAGAGCCGTCCTCGTTGAAGTGCGTGTCCTCGTCGCCGTATTCCGCCATGCTGTCTCCACAGTCTCCTCCTTTCAAGTCACCATTCAACGAATGCTGGCTGCTTTTCAGTGGTTTCTCATCATTATCGCTGTGTAAGACAGGGAAATATAACAGAGTTTGCCTGTTTTTGTCCTTGTTAAATTTGGTTGGTCTAATGCTCATCCAATACTAGATTTTAAGGAGCTACATAACTCATGGGTTCACGTTCACACAAATCATAGTCCGTCATTATGTCCGTACTCACACCTTGGTTTCTTTTCTCTTTTTTTTTTTTTCAATGGAATGCTAACATTTATTTTTAAATTATCTTTATAGGACTTTTTCTATAAACTTAAAGGAGTAGTTCACTTTTCAAAAAAACTTTTGCTGATAATTGACTCACCCCCATGTCATCCAAGATGTCCATGTCTTTCTTTCTTCAGTCGAAAAGAAATTAAGGTTTTTGATGAAAACATTCCAGGATTTTTCTCCATATAATGCACTTCAATGGGAATCAAACAGTCCAAGGTCCAAAAGACACCTTCGAACTCTTTTTCAGAGTCAATTCGTTCGTTGAATGAACCAAAAGATTCGTTCGATTTGATGAACGAGTTCGAACAGGAGAGTCACAAAACAGAGCAAGGCGAGCATTTGAGCTTCTAAAACTTAAACTTTGTTATTTATTTATTAAATAATCGATCGTTTCGCTTGATAAGACCCTTATTCATCGTATGAAATCGTTTAAAGCCCTTTTGAACAGTTTGCAGTTTGCACTGAAAGTGTATTTCGGACCTTGAACCGTTTGGTTCCCACTGAAGTGCATTATATGGAGAAAAATGCTGGAATGTTTTCATCAAAAACCTTCATCTCTTTTTGACTGAAGAAAGAAAGACTTGGACATCTTGGATGACATGGGGGTGAGTAAAGTTTTTTCAAAAGTGAACTACTCCTTTAATAGAGACCATGACTGTCAATCTCCAAAATGGTACAAAAAAAGTGTCATAAAATTTCATCAAAGTAGTTCATATGAAACAGACAGTTCATACACGCATTCTATTAAAACTAAACTGTTTAAAAGGACTAATATGAAGACTTGTGTGAGGATGGGTGAGTTTAAGCATGCATTAACTTCACTCAAACTGTGAAGCTCATGCATTTACACACAGTTGGATGTCTGTATAAAACAAGCCTGTGAGTCGGGCACATCTAGAGTTCAACCTCATTTATCATAAACATGTCATGGATGATCTGCTGAAAATATTTCTTGTCACTACAAACCCTGTTCTCGAAGAGATTGTTGTTAAATTGCATCACCGAATGATTAATGAAACAAGAAACGCATTTATTGCTGGCCTGAAGATACGCGTCTTTCAACTAAACCTCATTGTTCCCCGTCATCCTATCAGGCATGTTTTGTTCGCTCGATCTCAGTACAACCTCATTTTCCCATTTACAGCGAAGCCATTGTTTCTAACGTGCTACATGTGTACTAGCTACTCACAAAGCACCACGTGAAACAGGAACACATCAATGGCATTGATGTGTGAACAACATTGGTTTTGTTGTTATTGTTTAGCACATACGTGTGGTGGTTACTTTAGCTCGCTGCACGTCCAGAGCTCAGGCTGGTTTGGTGCTGGCTTTCAAACCAAAGAAAAAATGCACAAATTACAAGGAAACAGTGTCAGAGGTTGCCGTCATTCTGCCTCTATGTGAGCTGTGAGTAGTAAATCATGCTGGTGGTTTGAAATACCTGTATTCACAGAAGGTATCATCATTCATACCCTGGGACTCCAAATCGGGGTGCATGTCTTCTTTCTCTTTCACTGAATAAACACAAGAGAGCATCCTTAATTTAGAAAGACTAACAAACATTGTTCATATTTCTATTAACAAACAATATGTTAATAAGATATATATATATATATATATATATATATATATATATATATATATATAATTTGTGTGTGTGGTGCTGGTAAATCAAACTACATTATGGGTACAAATAATTTTTTTTGGTCCCCATAAGGAAAATTATAAGTCATACTGATGTGATTATTTTTGAAAATTCAGAACGTATTCTTTATGGGTAGGTTTAGGGGTCTGGTAAGCGTAAGGGGATGGAATAGCAGCGCAGTCTCATCCCAAGACGTCATATAACTGACGTCTTGGGACGTGTTTTGAACATACGTCAACACCCGCCTTTTTAGGGTACCCTTAAACGTCGGTTAGATGACGTTATCGGATCCTAACCCTACCCCAGACCTAAACCTACCCCGTCACCTAAAACGACGTTAAAGGTAAAGCATCAGTTGTATGATGGCCCCGGATCGTCATGTAACCGACGTTTAAGGGTACCCTAAAAAGGCGGATGTTGACGTATGGTCAAAAGATGTCCCAAGACGTCAGTTATATGACTTCTTGGGATGAGACTGTGTTAGGAATAGAGTTTGTACAATATAAAAATCCCTATGTTTATGAAAAGTCTCCATAAAACATGATATATGTTGTAAATATAATTGTCTTTACTGTCACTTCTGATCAATTGAATTCTTTCTGAATAAAGTATTCATTTTCTTACTGACCCCAAACTTTTGAAAATTAGTATATACACCCTAAAAATGCTGGGTTGTTTCAATCCAAATGTGGGTCAAATATGGACAAACCCAAATGTTGGGTTAAAAATGCAATTACAAAATTTACAGTTGAAAGTGAAAGTTGAAGTTTGGTTATTACATTTTTAACTCAACATATGGGTTTGTCCATATTTGACCTCAAACAACCCAGCATTTTTTAGAGTGTAGTAATTAATAAAAGGTAAATAGAACATTTTACCAAAGATCGTAGTCAATTAATAATCAATATGCATTTCATATATATATATATATATTCTGAACAAATTAATAAATAGAAAATATAGCATATATATATATATATATATAGGTAATTTATGATATACGTCATCAGCAAGCACATATGCAGATTCATTAACGCTTGCAAATGAACAGATTTCATGCTGTTTCTGTAAAGTAATTAGAAAACGATCAGTTGTAGGGGTTACCGTGGTATAACAGATCCAATTACAGTAATACAACAATGCTATTGGCTAACACCTTGAATCAAACCCAATTTGCAGCCCCTAATGAGCATGTGTAAAATGTTCTAAATATAAGTTTTTTTTAAAACACTTTTCATGTGCTATTGTGATAATCGAAGTGTAAATTTGATAGACATTGTTCCTTCTTACTTACAGTATCATTTTTACTTCATGATGAAACTCTTTAGACATTTGCTAGGGTTTTCTTGTGCTATCTGACAGCTTTTTAAAAGATCCTGTTCACATCACCAAGTAACTGTGCAATATTCTACAGCAACTGATTATTTTTATTGTGTGTGAGAATACCTGAGTACTTTCCGCCTTTGTTTCGGTTCACAAAGCAGGCTATGAGCACCGAGAGAGTGAGCAGAGCTATGGCGCACATGAGCCCGATGAACCAGCCCTGGTTGGAGATGCCTCCATGAATACTGGCCAGACCTGTGAGAGACAAAACATTCACTTACCAACCCATCATTTGATATTTACTGAGCACACTTCATTGAACGTTGACAACATCCGACACTAAATGAGAGACACCAGGCAAACTCAAGAATGGGAATGTGCTGATATTAATATTAAACTGCCAGACTGCATGTTTAATTGATCAATGGAAGAGGCTGATAAAGCATAATTGCATCAAGTCCACAGAACACATGCTCTGGAATGGACACGGCGTACACTCATGATCATTTTATCACAGGATGTTGCTCGCACTCTTGATGAGATGAGAAAGGAAGAGACAAAAGACGATTTGTGTTTGCATTTCTGTCACCTCGGAGACTATTTTCTCCTCACCTTTGGCCCTGGTCTTGATAACGTCTTCAAAAATACTAGAATTATCAACCCAGCTTTTAGTCATAAGACGCACTGTGTATTCAGTCCCAGGTTCGAGCCCTTCAATGATGTGGAAAGTCTTAGAAGAGTTTAGCGCATCGGATATCTTCCAGTTACCTTCACCTACAAGACGTGCATATAGGTGAAGCGGTGTTAGTATGCTACAAATCTCTACTGCCTATACATAGACAAAACAGTAAACAATTATTAGGGCTTCCAAATGAAAATGTTAATTTGGGTACAATGATTCTTTAAAAAACGCAATTGAACATTTTACCGACAGACAGGTAGATGTTAATTTTGATCAAAATCAGTAACTGGCATCAATTTACAGCCCTAATAATTATATATAAATTATATTAATATATATACTGTATACATATACATATATATGTGTAATATAAATTATTGATATTCAGTTGCAAATATGAATATATAAATCTATATGAATAAATCAAATATGGACAAACTCAAACATTGGGTTAAAAATGTAATTTAAAAATGTAACCCAATATCTGTGTTTGTCCATATTTGACCCAAAATTGGGTTAAAACAACCCAGCATTTTTAAAGAGTGTATTAGTGCTGTCAAATCGATTAATCTCAATTAATCACATATATCATAGTTGTTTTAAATAATATATTTGTCTATATTTGTGTATATTTATACACACAAACATACAGACACAATACACAATACATATGCACGCAAATATATTTTATTATATTATGCGGTTTATAATGAATAATCCATTTGACAGCACTAAAATCTATACTTATTAACCTATGACAAAAATAATAAAGACTAAAACAATCACTAATGAACTTTTTTTTTGAGTGAATTTACTTTTATTAAACCGAAAACGGTTATATGGAGAATTTAGACAAGAGTGAGAAATACTACTGAACTTTGAGGTATAATTTACAAGAATTAGGACGAAGAACAGTAAGGAAGGCTTACGGTTGTTCATAAAGGCAACATATAACTCTGACTCCGTCTGTTCTGTGCCAGGAATCCAGCTGATATTTGCAAAGTTGTGACTAACTGAGGTGCTAATATTCAACACAGCTGAGAGAAGAGAGAAATGACAGAGGGTTAGTACTGTACATGACACAAGGAAGGGTTGCCTGTTAGATACTGTTAGACTTGGGAGAAAGGAGGAAGAGAAGAGTGACTTCTTTAAAAAATATATCAATGAAAATATGAACTTCGCCAGACATTACTTTAATGAAAAGCTGCTTATTAGCACTGCCATATTTTTAAATATGGGAGTCACTTTCAAGTCGCAATGAACTGAAAATGTAAACAGTATCACAGTAACATTGTCCTAACCAGATGTGATGATATAAAGATACAAATGATGAAAGCAATTTTTAACACTTTACTTGAGGGGGTGTGCATAAGACTGACATGACACCTTCATAACCGTGACATGACATATGTCTTGAATATGAAGTAGGGTTTATGCATGTTTATGACAACTGTCATTAAGTACCTTTCGCTCAATAATGACATTTTGAATGCAAATAGGACATTGTTTAAGATGTCTTTATGACATCTTGACATGAACTATAACCTGTCAGTGTCTTTGTCATGACAACTTGACATAAAATGAAGTTAAACTGTCATGTGGTTGGCTTTGACATTGGCTGTCATGAGGCCATTATAACTGCGTCATGAATATTTTCCATGACCTCAACTACAGTATTACTAATTGAATTTGTCATTAAAAAGTTATAATGGCTTCATGACAGCCAAGTTTAATGTAATGTTAACCAATAAAACTAGGTGGTTTCATAGTTTGATAATTCATCATGTTTATGACAGGTTGCGTTGTCTTAGTAATGTCAAGTTGTCATGACAAAGACACTGACGGGTTATGATGTTATGGTTTATGTCAAGGTGTCATAACAAAGACATCTCAGATGTTATATTTGCATTACAAATGTCATAACTGAGCGAATGACACTTAATGACAGTTGTCACAAACATGCATAAAATTTCCTTCATATTCATAACATATGTCATGTTAGTCTTATGCACACCCCTTCAAGTAAAGTGTTAGCCAATTTTTCGTATGTAAAGTTTAAAGTGTTCATACAAAATTTCAAGTACCAGTTTGCCAAACAAGAGAATGTTTCCTTCTACTCACATAATTACTGTAATTTTGTCATGTGAACGCAGCATTAAACATTAAATGTTTGTATATTGGCTGGGACTTTGTTACGTCTCAGAGCGACTTTCACTTTGACTGTGGTCCGACTAATTACTTGTCGCTGGAAACCCGAAAGTCACGGCTGGATAGGACATGGCTCGAGGAAATTAACGTGATGGGATGTCACAAACAAATGGCGGGTCTTCAGATGTTGGAATGGAGTGTGGTTTAATTTCCATCAGAAACATAGCTGCGAGTCTTCTGTAATTAAATGACTAATTAACGGCCTGAAATAATGATGTGCTCGTTACACTGGGCGAAACAAGATGAAATTATAAGAGATAATTCTAGACAGTGTCGCCGAGTAATAATTACGCCGTCACCGAGTTCTGAGTGCCGCAGAAACATCTGAACTGTTTCTATTCGGAAAGCCAAAAGTATTGGACTTGGACAATTGCTACCTTCGCGACATGCCACCGGAGCTATATCAATCACAGATAACTTGTGTTTTCATCACCTTCAGGTGTAGCAATTAGGCAGACTGTTGTCTGCTGTCAAAACTCATTACCACACATCTCAATCACCCAACACCTCTCCCTTTGGGCAAAACATGCAAATGGAACACATTTATTCTCAGGCTCTTTTCAGGAATTCATCTGCACCGAAGGACCGTTTCTATCCTGCCCATCGCCGCATGCTCAAATGACATCCTCTGTTCGTGATGCGCTTCCATCCACCCTGTTATTGCAGAAATTGCGTTAATCATCTCAGTGCGGTGTGACACCTTTGCTTGACACAGAAATGGCGCCATAAATATTGAGCGAGCTAGCTGGAGGTTTGTCAGACCGCATCTGCCGCCACAGCGGGAGGGAGGAAAGCTCGCGCCACACGTGCCCCGCAAGGCTGCTCCTGAAAGACCCTTTTTGTGGTGCTGAATTTAAACGGCTTCCTCTTATCCACTTAGCAGACACTTCTGTGCAACATCAGCACTGTTCATCACTCCCCCGATAAACCCAGATAAATCAGACCTTCACACTTCGACTATACAGTACACTATTGTTAGGGGTCAGTAGATTTTTTTTAAACTAAAATACAATTCAGCAAGCATTTCATTGATCAAACGAGACAGTAAAGACTTAGGCGTTGTTACGAAAAAAATATATTTCAAATAAATGATGTTCTTGTGAGCTGTTTTTAAAAAACACTGTTTTTTTCAACATTGATAATAAGTAAAAATGTGTTTCCTTTGAGTTTTTGAAAAATTCCACACATATCCGCTGTTTAACGCTGTATTATGTATGCCAGGCCAGTAGTTGGCGATGTCACTTAGTAAAGAAACACTACACGCCTATAGACTGAAGATGTAACACGCATGCATGTACATGCCACCGTTTTCACAAATTCATGTTTATGTGCAATTTAATAAATGCAGGGTTGTTTTAACCCAAATTTGGGTGAAATATGGACTAACCTGGGTTAAAATATTTTTATTTAAAAAAGTAACCCAATGGCTAGGTTTGTCCTTAGTTATTTGACTGAAATTTGGGTTAAAACCACCAAGCATTTTCACAGACGAGTTCAAAAACTTTCAGCTTTTAGTTGGTATCATGTAAATATTTCACAATATTACTGTTTTAAAGGTATTTTTGATTATAAAATGCAGCTTTGGTGGTCATACTGTATGAGGCTTTTTTCAAACACATAAAAAAATCTGGTAACTCTTTATTTTGATAGTCCACTTTAGACATTCAACTAACTATAAGTAACTTTGCCGCTACATGTCAACTAACTATCATTAGAGTATTAGTAGACTGTCCGCTTAATATCTGCTAACACTTTATTTTGTTGGTCCCCAACAGACATTCAACTGACTATAAGTAACTTAGCAACTACAAGTCAACTTGTTCTCCTAACCTGAACCCTAACACCTAACCCACCTAACAGTCTACTGACAGTCTACTACAGCCTACTAATACTCTAATGACACTCAGTTGACATGTAGTTGAAAAGTTACTTATAGTTAGTAGAATGTCTCAAGTGACTATATGACTATATAGAAATAAAGTGTAACCAAAAAGCTTACACTCTGAAAAATGCTGGGTTGGTTTGGGTTCATTTTTTTGCCATTGGGTTCATGTTTTAAATTGCTCCAAATTGGGTTGAAACAACCCAGCATTTTTTAGAGTGTACAAGACCCCAAACCTTTGAACAAATGTGTTTCCATTATTACAAAACTGAATATTTGTAGAGAATGTTGGCATAAAAAAGCCAAATTTGTTCCTCATTTGATCTTTTAGACTTGCTGTTGTGTGGTTTAGTACCTATAGAAGAAAGAGTAGCATTAGCCACAGGGGAAACAGTGGTTTTTCTTGGAGGAAATCGAGAGCCGGATTTTCCTGGAAAAAAGACAGTATTTTAAACGGTTTGAACTGATGTGATGTTTCTACGAGAGAGTTAGGCTTGTGATGTACTAAATAGGAAGATGCTCAATGCAAAATAAAAAAATAGTCTGTGTTAGCGGAACCATAGTATGCAAGGACAATTTTGAAAGGATTGAACTGGATTAAATGGAATAAATCAATTAGTTTCATCTACCAACATAGAGCAGATGACAGGTTAATAGTGAGATTGATCTAATTTAGCAACCATCTATGGAAGACCTCACATCTACAAAATGCTTACACAAGGACAGGGCAAAAAAAAAGAAAAAAAAGCACACGAAAATGAAATGATTATCTCATTATGAACACATGAATTTTCAAGATGGATTTCTACAGTACAGCTACAATGTATCCTCTAGTCTAGTGTGCTAGCTATTTCTAGTGCTAAAGAAAACAGAATACTTCATACTGATGTTGAAAGAGGCCACATCTGTTGAAGCTGGCAAAACAAAAGCAATAAAGCAATGAAAAAGACATATTGCAAGGACGAAAGAAAGACACTGAGATCACAGCAACTTTAGCAGTGCCTACAGTGCCTGTTACCAAAGCATTAAAGCGAAAATGCAATAGCAAGAAACAAAGAAACGTATTTAAAAATATGATGTCATACTTTTAAATGTCGTACTAGAAATATGAAAGTATTACAAAAGGGTGTTGAAAGTCTTATTTGTATGGATGAGATGGTATCAGATGGAAATACCATGGAATTGATGTCATATTCATTTACACCATGGTTTGAGCATAGCAACCAAGATATATTAAAGAATACAATGGTATCACTATGCTTGTGGTCAAAAACATGGTGTTGCCATGGAAACATGGACATACTTTTAAAATAAAACATAATTCTCATACACCCAGTTGTGCTTTAATTAAACAGATTTTCACTTTCTGTATTTGAAATCAACTGATTTTCTTGATGTAAGTCTACTGTATGCAGTTAATTCCCATCGACTCATAAAGATATCTCTCCTCACATCAGAGCAGTCATTTGTTTTCTTGACTGTTTTCAATTCCTCTGCCAAATATTGGTATAATGCCTTGGGATTTTCATCTCGATCATATTTCTTCCCTAAATACAACTTCCTATAAGAACCCTCAGTGAAACGCAAATAAACAGCACTTTATTAACAAAGTGTGTCGCCGTGAATCATTAATCATGACAAATGTGCTGTAAATTCACACTTGTGTGTTTCTTTTCTTTTAATATATTTTTTGGATGTTGATTACCAACTTATTTCTACGTCTGTACTAATAAACAATCCAACATTTCCATCCCCAAAGGCAACATATTTTTTTCTTCTTCCTTTTCGCAGGCGAGCTTTTATCCTCAAATCAATAAGCGCTTGGGTCCTCCAAGACAGTGATGAATGCAGCCCAGTCGCGCACTGTTATGATATTGTTCGGCTATAAAGAAATGCTTAGATGGGCATATGAAAAGCTTGGTGAGATGGGAGGTCGAAATAATGTCCCCTGCATTCGCCGGGTCGATGCCCATAACAACAGCAACTTGGTCATCCATGTCAGAGAGCCACATTCCCTGTCCTTTGGAACGCCACAGGCTGACTCCCCGGAGACGACCCCACCCACGAGCAGCTGCTACCCCGTACTCACTTGCTTCGGGGACAGTGGTGCGCTCCTCACTGACAGCTGGTCCGCAACCCACCCGCGTGCAACACCGTAGGTAAAACTTGTATTTGCTCAGTGCTTCCAGGTCCTGGAGGTGCTGCTTATTGCTATCAGTAGAGATGTTCAGGGTCATCAGAGGACCTAGTTCCTCTGTGTCATTTACTAAACAGGAAAAGGAAACAGAGCATACCGTCAATTGCATTTCTTAACAAGTCATTTATCTCCATGTTAGAATTCACACGGATTATGAACAAAAGAAAGATATGCAGCAAAGCGACATGTGTTCATCATATGTTATGGTTGGTCGGTCAGCTGGACTGGTTGCAGGAAGGCCATGGCATTGAAATGTCAGATGTGTTTAGTCAGCCATGTGTTTTTTTTCTTCCTTCTGACACAGACTGACAGCCTGCGCTAGGATTGTCACAATACACACATTTCTGTAGTGGTTGTCACAATACTATGGTTTGTGGTACAATACAAAAGTATCTGCCACATCCGCATATGATGCATGTTATGGATATTGGAAGTCATATTCATTTTTTGATTTCACAATATAAATATATTTGAATATTGTCTTAAAGAAATACAAAATACAACTGCAACTGATATGCTACGGAACAAACATGTGAAATATAAATGCATATAAAAAACCAAGCAATTGTTGGTCAAACAGTCAGCCATAGGAAACAAAGATGATTTTTCTTGGCAGTATTGTCGTTTGATTTGACATATTAGACACTAATTTGGACACAAAACAGATTTTTTATTAGTATTATTATTTTTTTGCATTCACTCATGACAAACCAATTGTCTTTGCATTAATAACATTGGCAAGCACTGCATTTGACCTTTCACGCACACGCATCACAGCAAGGGACAAGCGCTATTCGCAGATCATGCACACGCATACCAATGTGTGCATTTGACAGTCGCCGTCAGGACTTGGATGCCGAGTAGAATACTACAGATTAAACCATCATTTCATGCGCATGTGTTATTGAGATATTGTATATGCAGCTTAAACAGGTTTGAATCTGCCCTGCAAAAACATCCCAGATAGACTAATTTTTAAGAGTGTTTGCTCATCTGCAATACGTCTATAGGACGTTTCCTGTCAGATGTCAAATAGACGTTTAGATGTCAGTTTAACATGCATTCTAAATCATTACATCTTAAAAACATCTCCTAAACGTCTATTTGACATCTGACAGGAAACGACGTATTGGAGATGAGCAAACAGTCATAAAAATACGTCTTCCAGATGTAAACATCAATTAGACTTGTGTTATCTGGGATGACATCATGATTTTTGGTAAACATACACGCCACTTACAAGTCAAGTGTCATATATATACGCATTTTGAGCTATCCGCGTGCATGCGTGTATGTCTACGCTGTTAAATGTCCGAGTGATTCCACGTGTATGTACATTCCGTTAAATGTCCAAGTGAAACGAAGCAAAATGTAGATCTACATCTGGGGAGCGATATTTTTTTCCTAGGATGGTAGGGGAAGACTCATAAATGGTATTAACCCCAGTGACGGGGTTGGGGTAGGTCATATATTTATATATACAGTAATGTAACGTTAAAGCTACACTGTGTAACTTTTTTAGTTTATTCTTATCTAAAAACACTTAGTTCTTTCAAAATATATATGTGCTCATTAATGTATATTTAATTCAATCAAGTAATAAAGTATTCTCGTGAGTGTATAATATGCCATTGAAAATACATACAAGTAAGGGATTCTAATGTCGGTCGCCATGTTGCCCCTCCATCTTGAAAGTACATTAGCCAAAGAGGGACATACCAGTAAATTCAAGCTTCGCCTTTCACATTTATGTTTGAGTTAACACTCATGGAGGAGGTCGAACTGGAAGCCATGTTAATCTTGGACTACGCTGGCCACTGTAGTTAAAATTGGAATTGAGAGGAACAGAAACTAATATTCACTGGATGGTCATATACCTTTTCACCGCTAGATGGGGGTAAAAATCACACAGTGTAGCTTTAAGTCAACGGCATTCACAAACGTGCTGAAAAGCGATTATGGGTGTTGATAGCGTGCCATAAAATGGAAATACGAATTGGCGTGTCATGAGATCAGTCTGCCTGCACCATGTTTTGATTCTTTATTTCTTCTATAATTCTCTGTCAAATAAACATAAGTAATAAGTAAGAAATAAGTCATTCACAGTGTGTGATTTCAGCGTAGTTGGATCTGGCTGCGGGCCATCTGTGCAGTGGCTCTTTAATCCCAGTTGCTATTTTCCATTCGATGGGTACAGCTGTGTGCTCTCTCTCGCCAGCATTTTACACGCCACTTTCTTCAAGGAGACTTCAATGAGCCCACTTCAAAGGGAAACACAATGGTTCTAGCAAGCTCTCCTGATGAAAACGTTACTTCTTTTAATACGCAACCTGACACTTGGCCTCAATGATCAGACACAGCATCAAACACAATTAGCTGACGAGGCCTTCCAGACTGTACGCATCATAATCAGCTCCGTCATCACTCCTGCTGGGATCTGGTTGCGTGTTGAGCGGGGTGCGTGCCCAGCCTGGTGTTATACTGTGATACGATGCATGTAGAACAGTGTATCAGTGCGATGAAGGGTGTCAGGATGGTATACCGGGTCAAACATTTCTTTCCCATGAGCTCTGCACTACTTACGTGCCATGATTGCCCAGACAAGGGGTTTCCAAAACTGGGATCTAGACAGTCTTAGCACATAGGTAGTGCAGAGTTCATGGGAAATACATGTTTTTAAAGGGATAGTTCACCCAAAAATTAAAATTCTGTCACCCTTATTTTGTTACAAACATCATTATGTTGTAGTAGCAAATGACTTCCATAGTATTATTATTATTTTTTTTTTTTTACTACTATGGAAGTCAATGGCTACCTTCAACTGTCTGATTACCAACAATCTTCAAAGTATCTTCTTTTTAGTTCAACAGAAGAAAAAAACTCATACATGTTTGGGACAACATAAGGGTGAGTAAATGACAACATCATTTTCATTTTTGGGTGAACTGTTCCTTTAAATCAATGAAATATTTGCTTAGAAATATCAGGGAGTAATATTTCAGGTCAAAATGGTTCGGAATGACAAAATACGTTTGCTAGACAAGAGTCAGACCTTCTATTTCTTGAAAAAATAAAGGGGAATTCATTATTAAAAAATTTTTTCTATAGGTCTAGAAACAATATGAAAAGTGGGGCTAGACAAGAGGCAGACCTTCTATTTCTTGAAGAAATAATTTTTTAATTTTTATTTTTTTCCCGATAGGTGTAGAAACAATTTGAAAAGTGGGGATAGCATAATCTAAAACGTATTTGCTTTGCTTGTGAATACAAATTTGCTTTGGTCATTCACCCTGGTTTGCTGAAAAGTAGACATTAAGTCGGCATAAAAAAGATGATTTTTCGCAAGTTTTCTGTTGAATTTTCCCCATTAAAATATCAAATAAAAAATTAGAAACAATACCTTTACAACTCTTACTCTTGGTTAAACAAAGTAAACAAATCAGCCAGTACACTAAGAATAAATACACTTATATTCAAAGTACAATCTATGAAAACAAGTCTTAATATCCAATGCAAATTATATTTTCAAGCATATTTCTTGTTTCAAGGATTTTCAGATATTTTAACAAGGAAACTAATTATAAATAATTTCTTAGTATTAACAAGGCTTGGTTGCTTTTACCTTCTGCGGTGATGCTTGCCTCTGTTAGTGAGGCTTCTGATTGTTTTTGGGTCGTCTACAATTATGCTTAATCTTACAATTAAACTTTGAATATCAAAATCTACACCAAAATAACTCTTGCTATTTAGAGATACGCTTCACAATGTTTCCCATTTCCCTATAGTGCATCACTTAACCATTAATACGAAGTGCATTGTTAACCCGCAACGTAATCAGTGGTCTTATTCACTGTAAATCTTAATTAAAAGCATACCCTAACGGCATGCAGTGAATAGCTGTTCAATTCACTAGTGTGCATTCAATTCAGTATAACAGGACCTGTATAATAAAAAATAAGCAAATTGAGTTAACTTAAACAAGTCAAAGTAATTGTTTTCCATAAATCACTGTGTCTTATTGAGATCCTATACAGTCATAATACTGAAGTGCCTGTTGAATATAAGATGCGGCTGCCAACCCTAAGCTAGGTGGCACAACAATATCTCCTAGTGGTGAGACGTAGGCATCACTCGATGTAATGAGACGTGAAACATAAAAGAACACTTTGCAGTTTTTATATGTCCAAATCTACATCTGCTTCATGGGGAACATGTTGACTCAGGGGAAAAAGCTATTTTAATGCTCTCTGTGCCATACAAATTTACATTCTTTTGCCTGGCCCTTTCAGAGACATGACACCGAATCAGTGCAAATCCAGTGGTTTGTGGTTTTACTGACCATGGGCCACAACAGAAATGCATATCAGGAAAGCTGTTTACTCAAACCCCATGCACACAACCCTAACAGAACGATGCAGCGAGGGTTATGAACGAAATGGAAATGCAATGATCACATACTTAGCTGATATTGCAGGATGTAGCCGATTAGGACTCCATTTGCGTCAACCGGAGGAGACCAGGTCAAGGTGACCTTGTTTTTCTGGACGTTTGAAACGCTGAAAGCAGCTGGTTGACCGGGTACTAAAAGTAGGAGATAAAAAAAGAAAGTTGACAGATTATTTGAATCATTTAAAAGGAACGTTTCACACACAAATGGTCATTACACAGCCCTGCATAATAGCAAAAAGGCCTAATAGTACCTAATTAAATGATTTAATGAAGTTAAAAAACATTAATGCAAACTTTCCATCAAGAACAGTTTTTTTCACAATTATATATACATATATAGTTGATTAAATGTAGCTTTAATGCATTTATTAACATAACAAAAGTCAAAAGTTTCTTTGACATTGTTTCAATGTGTATAAGTTGCAAAGGAGAAGACAACTACATTCAAATACTCCATTTAATGTCATGGAACTTTACATAGACACAAGGCAGTGTTTTTCATTCATTTGTTCCACAACTTTGTGACTTTCTTTCGTGAAAGACATCTTCCCCTTTATCAAAGGTCTTACATCTAATTTTCATTTCCAAACATTTCATTTCGAACCAATGCCAGGCATAGACCTTATTCAGAGCAGCGCCATGACAGGTATGAAAGTGAGGCTGTGAGGGATAGACTTACCGTGTTTACAATGGCATCCACTGTAAAAAGCTGAATAAAGCTCCTAGATTACTTACAATTTTCCACAGCTTACATTGTAGGGAGTTTTTTGTCAACTGAAATTTCTTGGAAAGATATTTTTCCAGTGTTTCATAAGCAGAACAATCCGAAAACACATTAAATAACAGTACAGCCCATTGAAGAGATGCATGACTATCCCTCACAGCCTCGCTTTCATTCTCATTAAAAATCAAAGACGACGCTGCCGCGAATAAGGCATATATTTGGGTAAAACCAACTATTTCCATCTTATTTATCACTCACAGAACCAAGATTATTATGTTTAGCTCAAGTATTCCCACATCTTCTCCTCACTCACCTCCCTCAGGGGTCTTGAAGCTGACCGAATGACTGCCCGGCCCGTTTCCTCTACTGTTAAAGGCCATGACAATGAGGCTGTATTCTGAGAAAGGCATTAGCCCTGTGACCACCGCATGGTTCCTCTCGCCTGAGAACGTCGCCGTGTGTTTGTCGCCGTGTGTTTTCTTTGAGTCCAGCAGACTACGAAGCCTCCACCAGCTTACCTGTAAGGACATGAGGATCGATTAGTCTCTAGAAAGTGAAGGGACAGCTGATGAGTCAAAAACACCATGGATTAATACATGTGGTTAGGCTCTGACAGCTTGCTGGGAAACAAGAGGAGCTTTAAGGTCACAAAAAGGGGTCATTAGCCCTCAAACCGTGGCTAAAAAAGCAAAAGACACATTGGTGCGGAATTACCCTGTAGCCCCCCAGATGTCCATGGAGTTTGTCCTTGTGAACATGGTCCCATCTGACCTTCACCATGGTGTTGTTCATCACTTCTACGGCAACATCCTCTGGAGCTGCTGAGGGGACTACGGACGAATAACATGCAAACGAAATATTACAAATAGCTCTATATAGCTGCCTTCAAATTACACTGTTCCTACATCAAAATAATGTCAGTGAATTAGATTCAGCTATATCCACGAAATAAGGACCAAGAAATGTGGTGTAATTTGGTGGGTAATCATGGGAAAAACTGTGGTGGGAGTAATAGTTGTTTACATGGAGTTATGGACTATAATATTGTTCTTATGCTTTGTAACTACATTTCGTTATCAAACACATTGCAAATTGCCTACATAACACTTTTACCATACACAATCTACGTAATCTATATAAAGAACATTCACAGACATCATATGACACTCGCTAATGAGAAGAGATTTGATTATAATGGAATAAATCCTGGTAAACACCAGTGTTGGGGAAACAATGTTGAATCTGTACTTTGCCAAGCTAAGCTACTGGTAAATTAAAATAGTTAAACGTTAATTAAGCTATTCTTTTGAAAAGGTATTTAGCTAACTATATTGATTGAAGCAATCTTTTTTTTTTTAAATAAATAACTATTATGGTTAGTAACATACTGTAACATTAACTGTTCTTGGTAACATTTCAATAACCATTATATATATATATATATATATATATATATATATATATATATATATATATGTTACACTTTTTGCATACTGGCCCATTTTGACCCAGGTATCAAATAAGGATTCACACATGAAGTTATGCATGACTGTTTTTTTTTTTTTTTTAATCTTTGAGCTAGACTTGTATCTAAAATAAGTTTTGTAAAATGTCTGTAGCCTCTTTCCCATATCTCATACACACGTTTGGTGCTGAATTTTGTTGACAAACTTGAATATGAACACATATTGATAAAACATTGCAGCAAGAAAAATGTATAATATGTTTCATATGAATCTAAATGTTCTTGCAAGTAAAATGTATGTAATGCATTCAACATTTAAACAATGTAGAGTATATGTTGTTTTGATAGAATAATAATGTTCATAAAATAAACTCTGTCTAACTCTAACTCTATTCTTGAATCTGCAGCATGAAACAAGTCATCATAACCAGTGTTGTCCAATTACAGAACAAATTACTTTTATAAGCCTTTTGTTGTGAATCAGAAACATGCAGCTCTGAACGGATGAACGACTCAAATAAACTGGTTCGTTTTAGTTAATCAAAAGCATGACCAATGTAGTACAATTCCAAAAATCTTATGAACGTACTTATATTTATTAATAATTTTGAGTCATTAATTATGAATATTCTATTCCCCCAGATATTTTTCCTTGAAAGTATTAAAAGATTCCTTCATGGAATCATTAAGGTACAGTATCTATAAAGATTCAACTCCGCCATACGGGGATTCAAACAGGTGGCTCATTTTTAAAATATGGTCATTTACATGAACAATCCATATGAACTGATTCACTAGTATGAACCGTGTTTTGATTACTTCAGGTTGCTCGGCTTGGAATCTGCATGTGCAAAAACAGCGATTTAGCATTCATTTGCTTATTTTCATTTGGGGAGTAAATCAGTTGCTCCCCAACACTGGCAAACACGTGCTAAGATAAGATAGAAATAAGAAAAGATGGAGAGAGAGCAAAAAAGGGACTAAACTAAGCGTATTGCACAGAGACGTATAGTGACCTGTGATAACATCGGGAGGGCAACTCCAAAAGAAAACTGAAGGCAAGAGAATAATTATAGTCGCAAATGTAAATAGCTCATAGCCATGAAAACATTTCATTTGTTAGTCTACAAAGACTCTGAGAGAGGAAATCGTTCCCCCTTTTGCAGTTTAATATCCTCAATAAGGCAAAACAAATCGGCATATCAGAGCTGCCGTTTGGGTATTGTGTAAAGGCAAGACAGTATTTCATCAGCATTCTTTGCCCTCTAGGTGTGTTGATATTCTCGTCACACATGTACTGCACTATCGCTAGAGGTGGGGGTGGGGGGGTCCATTTACAGGCATCTGCAATGAAACAAGACCCTTACAGACAAAGAAAAGGTTAGAAAAAAAAATAAGATATGTCTTTCAAATTCTTCACCTTCTTTGTTCGCTCTCAGAGGTAAACATGCACAATGCTTTGACAGTGAGTGAAATGTCAATGGAATGGGGTTATTTGAATGCACACTCATCTCCAAAGCTCAGACAATGGCGGTTGCTCCTACTCACAATCCTCTCCTGAGTATGCTGTTATTATTTTGGGGTCCGGACCCCAGCCCGCGTGGTTCTTGGATTGAATTTTGATCTCGTAAAGGACGAACGTCGGGGTGTTTTTAACCACAAACGAATGCCTCTTCACAATGTGCTCCATCCAGTCCTCTCCGCTGCCTTGTCTTCTGTAGCTTACTTTGTACTCCAGACCAGGCCCGTTGTGCTCAATAGGTGACAATGGCTGTGACAAGAGTGCGAAAGAGCTCAGTTAGCTGACGGGAAACAGTAAATCAAAGGAAATAGCATTTAGTTGCTCAAACACTAGCTGTTTATATTGTCTCGGACTCAGAGGGCGAGCTCACAGAACTTTCACTCGCTGACCATATGACCGTATTGCAAACAAAGAAGGCAAACATAGGCTGAATCAACCTTTATAATAAGAATTGAAAACCTTTACACTCCTTCCAGGAATAAGAGTTGATCCACAGTTGATGTACTGAGCATTTGAAGGTGGTTAGTAGCAATTTAGCTAGACATGCCTGAATAGAACTGTCCATTTCAAGATTAAAGTCGAATATTTTCGAGATTAAAGTAGAACATTTTCGAGATTAAAGTCGAAATATTTTGAGATTAAAGTCGAAAATTTTCTAGATTAAAGTGAAAATATTTTGAGATTAAAGTCGAAAATTTTCGAGATTAAAGTCGAAACATTTCGAGATTAAAGTCAAAACATTTTGAGAATAAAGTCGAAACATTTCGAGATTAAAGTCAAAACAATTCGAGATTAAAGTTGAAACATTTCGAGATTAAAGTTGAAACATTTCGAGATTAAAGTCGAAATATTTCGAGATTAAAGTCGAAATATTTTGAGATTAAAGTCGAAAATTTTCGAGATTAAAGTCGAAACATTTCGAGATTAAAGTCGAAATATTTTGAGATTAAAGTTGAAATATTTCGAGATTAAAGTCGAAATATTTCGAGATTAAAGTCGAAATATTTCGAGATTAAAGTCGAAACATTTTGAGATTAAAGTCGAAACATTTTGAGATTTAAGTCGAAACATTTTGAGATTTAAGTCGAAACTTTTCGAGATTAAAGTCAAAACATTTCGAGATTAAAGTCAAAACATTTCGAGATTAAAGTCTAAATATTTCGAGATTAAAGTCGAAAATTTTCGAGATTAAAGTCAAAACATTTCGAGAGATGAGAATACGAGAATACAGTCTTCTGTAGAAGCTGCGTGCATGCTTGCCATTGTCTTGCATTACCGCACACACAGGCATTCATAATGGCGCATAGCGAGTTTCACACTGTGTGTGTGTGATTGTGTGTCTGCGTGTTTGTTTTATTAAAGGAAATTCAACAGGTACCAATTCGTATGAACAATTTGAATTCTGATGAGAAATTTTATATACTTTATATTACTGATCAAAAGTTTGGGGTCAGTAAGATTTTTAAAAAATGTTTTAGAAAGTCTCTTCTGCTCACCAAGGCTGCATTTATGAGCCTTCTGAAATCTTTGTTTTATACTGATTTTGTTCTCAAGAGACAATTCTTACTATCAATGTTTTCAAACGGTTGTGCAGCTTAATACTTTTAAGGAAATGTTTTGAATGAATAGAAAGGTTAATTTACTTTATGTCTTTAGTGTTAAAAAAAAATCAGACTTTTGAACGGTAATGTATTTGCTGTACCATTTGTCCAATCCATTAATTATATAATCCCTTTTTCCCCCATGAGGGTATATTTTTCTCATAAACGGCTGATAGACCTGGTTCATTGTTAGCAATTTATCTTGATGTCAAACAATGTAACAATTGACTTTTTTGAACAGCTCCGAGGTACATCAGTTAAATTTCCTTTTACAATCGTCGTCGTTTAGCAGCAAAAGACTGAATAAAATCCAAGTACTCATTAAAGTCCACCATTAACAATGAAAATCCTCATAATTCTACAAAGTACAGGGTGAATCAGCATGAAAAGGTGGCCGAATAATAGCCCAGAAACTGTAAAAGAGATTCACCTTTATGTGAAAATAAGAATTTATGCATCCCGTTCCTTTTATTTTTTAATCAAAGACTCACTCTGGGCTCCTTTTGATGAGAACGTGTGTCCAGAGAGATCCATTTCTGCAGGGCTTTGTAACTTTCCCAACAGCACTGCGATGGAGATAGCCGTGTTTTTCTATGCAAAAAAAACCCTATCTCGGGGAACACGCTTATCGATAATTGGAAACTAACAACTGACACTGTTAGTTTGCTCTCCCGCTTTGAGAACTAAATGAAATTCTGTATTTGAGAGCACTTCTTTATCTGTGCAGCCCTTCCAGTGCTTTGAACCTTAGATATTCTTGAAGACTACTGGAATTAAACGTTTAGCATCGTACCTCCCAGTTGATATCCATTTCATGTGGCAAATGACCTTCGATCTTGATATTTTCTGGGTTCTTGTCGGGGGCTTTGGAGAGAGCAGAAATATGGATTTAGTTGGAGGTGAAATTGTTAGTGAAATATGCACTTTATAGACTGGAGCTTAAGCGACAGGGAAAATCAATTATCTCACAAGTTGGTACATTTTAAAGTTCAGTGGGCAATGAAGTTGGGCTCACTGTTGTCTGTGGAGGTGACGTGGTTAGGAGAACCAGCAAGAGAGCTTATGGATACCTGAAGCTGGAGTTTTGTATCTTTCAGTGGTCCGGCTTGGTAAACCTCTTCCGACCTCATTGATGGCGGAGACTCTAAAACGGTAGTCCACATGTCCATGAAGCTTCAGCAGAGCGGAATGATGGTTTCCAGGTATTCTCGTAATCTCTCTCCAGCTGCCCGGCTCATGTTGGCTTTCCTCAAACTCAATAACAAACTCTGCACAAAGTTTAAAATTAGAACTGTCGGCACATAGACCACACGACATCTTTTTTCAAACCTTAAATGTGTACAGTACATGTTGAAAAATCAAAATCAACTGGTTTTACTCAGGATATATCATTTAAATGGACTCAACATGACTACATTAGGTAACACCAACGGAAATTGTTTGTAAAGGTTAAAAATGGTAGAAAACAGCCCATTTGAAGCCCCTTTCAATAAAAGTAGCCTTGGTGAGCATAAGAGTAAAAAACATATATTTTGAAACCTTTTGAACGGGAGTGTAATTTGCATATGTGGAGTCATGTACATGAGGTAAACACTGATCAAACAACAAGTCAATGAGTAGCCTTACATAGTGCATCCCAAATTGTGCTATAGAGTAGGGCAGGGTATTGAGACAAATTTCACAATTCGATTCGATTTAGATTCACAAGCTTGCAATTCGGTTCGATTTCGATTCGATTCAATATCGATTATTTTGGATATCAGTTACAATAAATGCCATTTTTTCTCAAGGGAATCAAATCTCTTAACTAATGCTGTAAACTATGGGAGTCTAGTTGTAGCCTACTAGGCTTCATTAGCCTAATATGAAGGTAATAATGAATGAATCACTTAAATTACACTTTAATTTTTTTTATAATAAGAAGATTATGAAATATAAACATTTAAATGGTGGCTGTCTTAAAAAACTTGCCAGATTTATTCAAATATGAAGGTAATAATGAATGAATCACTTAAATTACACTTTTATGTATTTTTATAATAAGAAGATTATATGAAATATAAACATTTAAATGGTGGCTTTATATTTAGCAAAATGCTCCTCTCTGTAGTTATTTTTTCCTAGCTGACTAACGAGTTGATGTGGGTTTTCTGAGGTAAATATGATTGATACACTGATTACAAGCTGTTTAACTGACGTCTTTCCACGGTTGAAACGCTGATTGAGCGAATCAATGTGACATGATACGAATTTCGATAAGTTGTACTCTATCTTTTAACACACTTTTCAGACGCTCATTCATGTTTATTTCGCGCTGTGACTGGTGTTATTAACCCGGAAGAGAGATCAGCGCTACTGCTTCTCTTTGTTCATCAAGAAAATGGACGTAATTTGAAAATTGAGACTTTGTTTCATATCAATAGTAACAAAGGACAAAGATTATTGCATTTTTTTGGATGCGCGCAGCCGCGATACAATATCCCATTCATTCAAATGAAAGAGGATGAATAATCGATTCTTGAGACTTAAGAATCGATATCGGTTCGTAAAAATGAGAATGGATTAACATCGAGGAATCGATATTTATTACCCAGCCCTACTATAGAGTATGGGCAATATGTAGCCTGAGAAAACCCAAACATCTTCCGGCAAATTTAGATTTGCTCTGAAAGTTAGTGTCATTCAAGCCCATTTCCAATCCGTCGAAATCGTGGCACCAATCAGAAACGTTGGGGCGGGCTTTACACCATGATGACAGCGCTGGGATTTTAAAGCAGACTTTGTAGCCTACATTACAAAGATGGATGCCGCCGTCGAACATCACTCGTTCGAATCAGCTATCGCGTCCGTTTTAACCGATTTTAACATTTCCTTTTTGTTAAAAAACAAACAAAGAACAACACTCAGAGATGTTTCTCCGCCATCCGCCGCTCTACATACGTCATCTCCTTCATCGCTCTGATTGGTTTTAGGTCTACCTGCGACGTCCGTTGGTGACGCATCTGGAAATGATCATTTTAACCAGGCTAGGCAATATGGGTATTAAGACCATGTTACCAGTAATGGAGCTGTTATGGTCATCTCCTGGAATCCACTGCACTTTCACACTTCTCCCATTATGTTCAGACAGGATCACATCCTCTGGTGGATCAGGAACATCTAAAGAAAACAACACATTTTTATTTAGGGTTGTCAATCGATTAAGCATCTCCATTTCAATCAGATTCATTACATGATGTTGCTTTTTTGTTGCCGCTTTATAGACATTTTAGGGACAGTAGAAGAAAATGATAGGGAGAAGAGGGAGGGTGGACCTGGAAAATGACTCCAGCTGGTTTCAAACATGCCAGGTCGTGTCTCCAGCTAGTGCATTTGAACAAAAACTATGTGGTGCTATCTTATTAAGGATACAATTCCAGTCGTGGCACAGCTGGTAGCCAAATCCCCCCTGTGCCGTGCGCTGAATCAATTTCAGCCCTCAAAGCCATGTGTCTATCTCTACTTTCCTAAATTGTTAAGACTAAAAGCACATAACTCACCCACAACTGAAAGCTGCGCAACCGCCATGTCTTGGTCAACCGGTGTTCTGGCCACACAGACGTATAAGCCCTGGTCTCCAAAGCTCACATTAATGATCTCAAGCACTCCACCGTCCAGGATATATCTATAGACACCAGCAAAGTCACTGATTAGACAGCTCACTATTGTAAAAGAACAATATCCTGTTGTCTATCTCACCTTGCGTTCTCGCTGCCGTTGAGGGCCATGCCATCTTTTTCCCAAAGGATCTCAAAGTCATCACCGAAGGAAGGGTCGGACTCTGCCTGGCATGAAAACTGGATAGTGGTTCCAAACAAAACCCGCAAATCACGTGGAGGATCGACTATTCTGGTGGGATCTGACAGAGAAAACAAAAGTCATTTTGGATTATGGGGATTTGCTAAATTGGTTAACTTTCTGAATCTAGTAAACCATTCCTCTTACCTTTGACTTCAAATGTTGCAGCAATGGCAACTTTGCCCTCGGTATTTTGAGCGAAACAAGAATACTCCCCCATGTCCTCTTTCATCACGCTGTGGATCTCCAGCGAACCATTCCGATGAACATAAAACCTTTCTCCTTCCACTGCATTGACACTGTCAGCTTTACTCCTGTGTAACCATACACCAACTGGGTCATTCTCAGGAAACAGTGTCAATTAAAACGATGAGTCATACGATACAGAACTTAGCCACATTATTTGATAGATGTCTCAACTGTGTATAAGGTACAGAACTTTTTAAAAATAAAACATTGATGCTATTTTGAAAATTTGCATGCCCCAATTAATCACCATTACATTTGAACTGTACTTAATTTCTTAATTTAAAACTTAATTTCACTTTGATTGAACATTATAATGCTTTCACTGAAAAAAAACAAAACAAAAACAGTGGTCAGAAACCTCTCGGATTTCATCAAAAATATCTTCATTTGTGTTCTGAAGATGAATGAAGGTCTTACATGTTTGGAACGACACAAGGATAAGTAATGAATGACAGAAATTTCATTTTTGGGTGGACTAACCCTTTAAGTTATGTTGTGTGGTGTAATGACATTTATAAATCAAGGACACAATTTGAAATAAAAGTAAAGGACATTATTTTGCAATTCTGTAAGATTCCACCTCAAGATATTTTGACCGCAACATAGTTTTGAAGAGAAATGTCATGGATTAGCAAATTAAATACTATTTTAATTAAAATTAAAAAAAAAAAAAAATCCTGAAATTGACAGTTTCCAAAGAATACCAAATTAATTAGTCATCCATGCTTTCACATGAATCTGAAAGCAGTTTATGAAAACTGATGAAAAAAGTGCATAAGTTATAGTAAAGACATTAATAATGTTTAAAAAAATATTTTTTTATTCCAAATAAATGTCAAAGTTTTCTGAAACACAATACAATATATATTTAGCAGAAAAACTGTGTTCAACAATGATAATAATAAGGAAATTTATCTCGACCACCAAATCAGAATATTAGAATGTTTTTTGAAGGATTGTGTGACACTGAAGATTGAAGTAATGGCTGCTGAAAATCCCTCTTTGCTTTCTCTTATGAGTCACCACAGTCAACAACACAAGTGCTGTTATTGCTTTAACTTAACAGTGGCACACTTACAGATCCACATGAGTAGTTTACCTCATTATCAGTGTTAAACACTGCCCGAGGGCCTTCAGTAAACTGCTTCACCAATGCAAAAAACACACAGAATACACTCCATTACTGCAGTGGTAACCCTTTAGAGCTGTGCTGCCCTCTGCTGGCCTGTACAAATACTTCTACTCACCACGTAATACTGGCGGTTGGCGAGCTGAAGACCTTACAGTGCATGACCACACCTTTCCCCTCCACTGCCATATATTGCAGATTATTTTCTGTTAAGATCAGGGGCTGGATGTCTGGGGAGAGAGTTATCAGCATTGCACCATTAAACACGACAAAACACGATTGGATTAGTCTCTTTATCTCTCGTCTTGTGATGCATTTTGTTATCAGTTAAGTAAAAAAAAAAAAAAAAAAAAGTCCTTGTCCTTGGAAAAGCAGCTTCCTGTTCTATTAGGGGAGGTAAGCGGGTTTGCAGGGTTATAGAGAGAGAATTGAGATTTATGTTTTTCTCTTTCTTCTTTATTTAATTTAATTTTTTTCCTTTTCTTATTTTTTTCTAAAGTAAGGATCCTTAGCAGCTTATTTTATCTCTCAGATGAAAGCAACACATGCTTTGGTTAGAGCAACTGAATACGAATGGAGGAAGGCATAATTGTTTGCACATAAAAGCGCCTGGCTGCCTGAGGGAGAGTGTGTCTGGAGATCAGAACCGACAGAACAGCTCCACCCTAAAGCCTGTGTGCAATCATTTGGACCTTCCGCTCTCTGAACAAACCCGTCCATATCACACCTCTGCTCTGTCCACACCAACAAAAAAACAGATGTTTGTTCACGGCCAGGCAACACCATGGTCGTTTATGTGATTTTTGGCCAAAACTGAATGAAACCACGAATATCCCACAATTTCAGCATTGGTCTGTCTTAAATGGGTGGAGAGAGCATGAAAAAGTTGCGAAGACATATTTAAAGGGATAGTTCACTTTGAAATGAATTTTTGATATGTTTTAGCTTACCTCAAGGGCATCCAAGATGTAGGTGTCTTACTTTCCACAGTAGTTTCAATTTTGATATTTTTAGGTCAAACCGTTCTTGTCTGTCAGTCATATAATGGAGGTCTATGGTCACCACCTCAAAGAGCATGCACAGAGAAGTCCAAATTAAACATGATTTAACGATGTAAGCACACATTGATGGCCTAAGACACGAAACGAGCGGTTTCTGAAGGCACGGGCGCTTCGGTCTGCGCATGCGCCGGAAAGCGCCGGTAGTGATCTCTTGCGCGGTTGCGAAAAAAAAATCAGATTTTTACGATTTTCCTGTATATTCAAATATATTTCTTCACAGTGAAGGATAACACTTCTGAAATCTCTGTGTAAGCAATGAGTGACGTACACACATGAGAGATCACTTCCGGGGCTTTCCGGCGCTTGCGCAGACCAAAGCGTCCACGCCCTCAAAGTACAGTACTTGGACGTGACTGTGATTGTTAGAGGTAAAAACGATATAAATACTGTTCATTTTTTCACACAAACCACTTGTTTCGTGTCTTGGGCCATCAGTGTGTACTTACGTTTACGAGTCATTAAATCATGTTTAATTTGGACTTCTCTGTGCATGCTCTTTGAGGTGGTGACCATAGACCTCCATTATATGACTGACAGACAAGAACGGTTTGACCTAAAAACATCAAAATTGAAAATACTGTGGAAACAAAGACACCTACATCTTGGATGCACTTGAGGTAAGCTAAAACATATCAAAAATTAATTTCAAAGTGAACTATCCCTTTAATTAGAATGAAAATCCATTCAATACACTGCACAGCTGAGTACAGTTTGCTTACTCATAATCATGATGTTGGCATTGGCTAGGATGGTGCCGTGTTTGTTAGCGGCCTCACACTGGTAAACAGCGCTGTTTTCTGGGTTTGCGTTGTGGATGGAAATGGTGCCATCTTTCAAGATTTTCCTGTTGGGGACTGGGACCTCTGAAATAGAAAATGTGGGTCAAATGTTTTGTTAAAACTGTAACATGATATATGAAAATTATAACTTGAAAATGAAAATACATAAACTGCAATGCAGTTACACCCATTAACGCAGAAAACAATTGTTGACACTTATAATTTTCATTAACAAACATTGTTACATCATACAATGCTTGACAGGTTGTAATAACCAATTATGTTATTCAGTAATCCAATCTGTCAAAATCACCATTTCTGAAGTCAGTAGGCACAATGTTATCTGAATTTGATATTGTTAATGGATAGTTGATGAGTAATTTGAGATAGGAATTATAAATGTTTACCGTTCAACGGTCGGCCGTTGACTCTCCATGCAACACTAGGTTTAGGATTTCCTTTCACGACACACTTGATCACCACATCAGCTCCAATCGTCCCTAACTGGCTTTGAGGTTCAATCTCAAACTCAGGAGGCTCTGTTTATGCAAGATAATTGAGTCATGTAAAACAATGTATTATACACACATGACATGATGATTTTGATTAGTCAATTGCAGCAGTCAGCACTCAGATGTCCTAATATTCGTTGTTTGGACACAAATAGCTGTTAAAGGTGAAGATGGTGTGTGTGTGCCTTGACCTTGCTTTGCTGCTTGAAAATAGACATTATTATTAATATATCTCTCCCTCACAGCCTCATTTGTATCTGTGTCAGTTTTATTTAATATGGCATCTACCCTGACTAAGGTCAGGGTATTAAAAAAAACAAAAAACAGACACTATACATGATGAATATACAAAAAAAAAAAAAAAAAACTGAAATATAAACTTATTAAAAATCTTTTATGATAGCATTATTATTCTGAAAATGACCAGTGAGTTCTAAGAATATGTATGGCATTTGAGCATTATAGTAGGAGTGTATTTATAGTTGTCCTGAAACAACCCTGGAAGCACTTCTTGTCTTTGGGCAGAAGATGGCGCACTTTTACCACTGGTGACTTTAAATGCATGATATACAACCATTATTAAAGCCACACTGGCATATTTACTGTGGTTATAAAAAATAAATAATGTGACTCACCCTCTACTGTAACATGAAAATAATGCACAACCTCTCCATGAGGATTTTTGGCTCTGCACATATATTTCCCATCGTCCTCCTCATTTACCATCTCTACGGTGAGCAACTTCCCATGACGCTCCACCACGACCCTTTCTGGAAGATTGTTGAAGCCTATTTTAACCCACTCCACCTTTGGTGTGGGGCTGAAAGACAGATTGTAGTAATGAGCAACCAATCATTTTTCATAGAGTCTACCCAGCAAACAAAAATGATATGAACTTTATGCTAATGTTTCCATTAGGTTGAAAATATTCTTTCTGAACTATCTCTGAATGTTCAAAACGTCCAGGTTTTAAATGATTTAAAAAAAAAAAAATTTAAATGAATGAATTTTAAATGAATTGATTTTTTTTCTTGGTTATGTATACATTAGAGAAAAGGGAATGGGAATGTTACATTTATGGGAAAATACAGTAACTTTTGAATGTTCTCTCTATGAATAAACACGTTTTTGAGCTATCATTTTGCAAATGTTTTAAAGTTTACAACTTTAAACAAACATTTATTTTTTATGTTTCCATCTAAATGCCCTGAATATAATCCACATTTAAACATTCCCACTAGATTTCAAATGCATTTCAAGTGGTATTATTGAAACAAATGGCATGCTCCTAAATTAAATTAACGATTCAACTGAATAATGCAAATTAGACAATGACACTTACAACCCCTCTGCAATGCACTCCAACTGAAGAACTTCGCCTTTCACCAGACGTGTATGTGACTCTAATCCTGTGGGCACCAGTAGACGGGGCTTCCTCTCCAAAAGAGAGTTTGCTTTATAACAGTAAAAAGATATATAAATATAAATATATATAATATATTTTATATATATATATATATATATATATATATATATATATATATAATATAAATATAATATAATATAATATAATAAAATATAATATAATATAAATTCATTTAAATCCTTTCATTTCTACAACATAATATCACCAAACAGAACTGTAACTGTTTTACATTAATTAATTATTCAATGAAGTTTTTTAAAGGGATAGTTCACTTTGAAATTATTTTTTTTGGTATGTTTTAGCTTACCTCAAGGGCATCCAAGATGTAGGTGTTTTTGTTTCCTCAGTAGTTTCAATTTTGATATTTTTAGGTCAAACCGTTCTTGTCTGTTAGACATATAATGGATGTCTATGGTCACCACCTCAAAGAGCATGCACAGAGAAGACCAAATTTAACATGATTTAATGACTTGTAAATGTAAGTACACCTAAGACACGAAACGGGCAGTTTATGTGAGAAAGGAACAGTATTTATATTGTTTTTGCCTCTTGTTTCCATAGCCACAAAGAGCCCGCGCGGCTTTGGTAACAAGAGGTTAAAAACGATAAAAAAAAACTGTTAGTTTTCTCACACAAATGGCTCGTTTCGTGTCTTAGGCCATCAATGTGTACTTACATTTACGAGTCATTAAATCATGTTTAATTTGGACTTCTCTGTGCATGCTCTTTGAGGTGGTAACCATAGACCTCCATTATATGTCTGACAGACAAGAACGGTTTGACCTAAAAATATCAAAATTGAAACTACTGCGGAAACAAAGACACCTACATCTTGGATGCCCTTGAGGTAAGTTAAAACACACCAAAAATTAATTTCAAAGTGAACTATCCCTTTAAAATACAAGTAATACACCAGAACAGAGAAGTTATGAATGAACCCATTCATTATTTCATCACTGATCAGAGAACACCTTTGAGTTTTGCAAATGTAGGCTAAAGAGTAAGCAAGTATAATGTGACATGGAATGAGATAATTAATCAAAACTAATTAAAAACAAAGCAGCTTCTCTATGCGTATGTAGCATCTCTAATGAACGTCACTCACCATAACCTCTGCCGCTACCAGACACTGAGTCCTTCATTAACTTGTCTTGGATGAAGAAATGGAGACAAATAAAAATATGCGTGGCAATGCAAAAACAACTAAAACAATAGATAAAATGGACATGAAATACACCAACAAGTCATCACAGGAAGTATCAATATCTACCAAGCTGATTTGCTGAGGTCCAGCAAGCGCTTGGAGATTGACTACATGATACACTGGAGATGTACAGATGCACATGGCCGGCATGTATAAAACCAATGCTGGTCGTGAAAATAAATTACCACGTTATGCAATCAAACTCTTGAAAATGAGTATTTTTACATACTGTTTTTGACCACGACGGACATGGCAGTTTTCTGGACGATGGTTCGTATGAGCGGGAAGGCAGCAAAGCAGCTGTAGTCTCTGCGGCTGTCAGTCTCAATGGCGTTTGAGAAGTACAGGTTCCCATTCAGACCCAATGATACTCTTTCATCCAGCTCGATGTGCTGTAGACCTGTGATGTTTAAAAAAAAGGAGAAAAATTATTTAACGAGACTCAAAACACTCAGTAATAAAGGTATTATTGTAATAATACAATTGCTTTAATGAGCATGAATACTGTAGTGGCCAGAAGTGACGTCCGCAGGGGATATTTGTTTTTAATGACATAACAAGTTTTTTTTTTTCTTTTACTATTTTTAAAAAATATTTTAAAATATGAGGGAATACGGAAGCGTTTTGCATTCACTTGAGGAATAAAAATCTACTCTTTTTTAAAATAAATTAATTAAGTTAATCATCACAGAATTACAAGATTTTTTTTAATGAAAAAAAGTTTTTGCTTTGTTTTTCTGAATTAACGAGTTCATATCTCAGAATTATGAGATACTTTTTTTTTGAAAAAAACATTTATTTCACTCTGTTTTTATGAATTAATGAGTTACTCACAATTTTGAGATAATTAACTCGTTAATTCAGAAAAACAGACCAAAAACTTTTTTCCATGAAACATTTTCTGGTAATTCTAATATAATTAACTCGTTAATTCAGAAAAACAGAGCAAAAACTTTTTTTCCATTAAAAATGTTCTGGTAATTCTGAGATAATTAACTCGTTAATTCAGAAAAACAGAGTAGATTTTTTTTTTCCTCAACTGAATGTTATACGCTTCCGTAAGGGAAGAACGAAACACTAAACTTGGTTAAAGGCAGGGTGGGTGATTTTATCCAGTTTTCTTTTTTTTTTTCTTTTCTTTTTTTTCTGTAATGCTGGCTGAAAATGTTTTAACATCCTGATAGTAATCACTAATTTAATTGGTCTAAATGCATTTGTATGTATATATCTCGTCTTTGGACAGTTCTTCCTGGACCAAAACAATGAGCTTATGCTGTGTTCACACCATAATCACCATAACCCGTAACGCTATACTCTGAGCGGTTCGTGACTCTAATTTATGCGTTTCAATGGCAACACTATCAACGCCGAAATGAATCTGCAGCAGTCATGTGATACAGGTCAGTGCTCTTTAAGTTGTTTATGTATGTTCATTATTATTGTAACGTAATGTGCTTTAAGACTATGTGTTTTAATGTGGCCTGGCTTTGGAGACACTCTAAAGGGAGGGTGGGACATATGCTTTTAAAGCTAGCTCACTATTGCTAGCCTCTCCGAAAAACACTTACCTTTAAGGTATTTATCTGACAAAGATATTAGATGCATTGAAAAACCAAAAGCTCACATGATTAAGCATACACTGACTATAACATAATTAAGGAAAAGTTCCAAAGAAACAAAAAGCAGGTCCCAGGCACTCAGTCAAGGTTTCAATGAGGAGAAGGATAAAGTAAAAAAAAAAAAAAAAAAAACTTTCTTTAGTATGGCTTAAATCACACGAATCAACATGTTTTGACCAACAAGTGGTCTTCTTCAGGGAAAAGTAACACAAAATATGAGAATGACGACAAATTATAAATTAAGTCCCACATATAATCAGAAAGAATTCAATAAACCTAATAAGGCCTAAAACAATCAATTAACCCAATAAAGCAATCAGGTCAAACAAGATAGGGGAAACCAACATAATGATGAGTAGAACAAAGAAACAATAAAGAAAAATATCTCCAAAGAAATCTCCCTCAACGTAGGAGAGTTAATCAGTTATTAAGATAAGGTTGTCTTGTTTTTGCAAGTGTTCATAATTTTTGTCAATTAAAAAAAAAATATGTCCACACAATTTGGCATGTTTCATTGCATTCTCAAAAGTAAAACAATTGACCTCAAGCACAACTACTAATAATTGTAATATTATTAAAATATACATTTGACATATTACTTTTTTTAAATAATTGAATTCATAATAAAAGGTAGATTTAAAGGTAGACTACCTGTTCAGCCGATCCTTTTAACTACGCAATATTCACTGAATGCACCGTAGGCCAAATGTGGATGTGCCTTAAACTAATTTAACCCCCAAAAAATAGAACTTACCTATTGTCATCCAGTAGATTTGCAGTGGGGGAATTCCTTTAGGTGGGTTGCACTCCAGAATGACTGACTGACCTTCCATAACCTCGATGGGATCAATGATCTCTTTAGGGAACTTCGGAACATCTGCAGAGAGAAACAAAATGAACCAATACCATTTTACAAATGAAGTCACCATTAGGTGGCAGTATAAGACAGGCTTTCTCCCCTAAGGCATTCCTAAAAAGAGATTATTCATTCCAATTTCCCAAATTTAGTCCAAAATCCAGCCAAACTGAACGTGCCAGCTGAATGAGTGATTGAAAACTGGTCTTGTTTTGTAACTGATGACTCTTTGCCCTGGTTACATCTTTGGAGATTTATGTGGTGTATTTCAGAACACAATGAGAAATGTTACATCAAAAAAATGATGGAGAGAAAGGAGAAAACTCATTTTTCACCAGCCCTCTCCTCATGGTCCATAATGCACTGTGATGAAAGGGAAAGAAAAGCTCCAGGGTTTGTAGCGGGTAAGTAATGTGGATATCCCACTGTGGACCAGAGCGGTTGTTTCATTGGATAGTGAACTCTAAATCTTTCTGAAAGAGTCGTTACAGCGCATACAGCACAAAGTTGTGCATTACTCACTGGGAACAATGAATTCAATCTCTTCCGACATGGCCGTTCCTAACTTGTTGGTCGCAAAGCAGCGATAATTGCCCTGGAATTCTGTGAGATTCCCATTATTGGGAATGGTGAATGTTCCGGAATCATCTAACGTTATCAATCTGGGGTCCAGATACGGATCAAAGTCTTGACCATTCTTTGTCCACTTGAATCTGAAAAACAGAGAAGATCAATGATTCAATGAAATTAAAACTGCTCAGTGTGCAACCTTTGAAATATGAAAACAACACAAGAATGCAAAGACGCTTTCCACATTCAGTTTTTTTTTTTAATTTGATATGACATCAATTACTCAGACGGGGCTTTGATACATGCTTTGAAATGCCAGTGGGGTGTTTGCGTGTTTCTGATGTTGCTTTTGCATATATTGTGAGCTGTTCTACCCATAATCTAGCAAGCCTGCTGAATATCCATGCTGGTTTGGTGCTGATCTTGCACAGCTGCACTGTTCACCACGCAAAAATAGCTGGTGATGTTGATCAACCAGCACGCGAGCACCATGATGATGCTCTTGCGGTCGTTCCTGAAGGTCGTTCCCTCCATCTTTGGTCCAGTTTTCATTGCAAAACTAGCACAAGCAAGCGATTAGTAGAGGAAGACAAATGATAACATGACTTCAAGCTGAAGATTCCATGTGTAAGCAATAAGGTACAAGAGCTGTATCGTGAATAAGTCACTGATGAAGGGCGTTAGGTATGTGAAGTACCTTATTGCTTTTATAAAACGGTTACCCCACAATACAAATATTATAGCCTTTTTTTATGTTAAGGAGTAGTTCTCTTTTCAAAAAACTTTTGCTGATAATTTACTCACCCCCATGTCATCCAAGACTTCCATGTCTTTCTTTCTTCAGTCGAAAAGAAATTAAGGTTTTTGATGAATACATTCCAGCATTTTTCTCCATATAATAGACTTCAGTGGGAACCAAACGGTTCAAGGTCCAAAAGACAAACTGCAAACTGTTCAAAGTGCTTTAAACGATTCCAGACGATGAATAAGGGTCTTACCAAGCAAAACGATCACTCATTTAATAAAAATAAATAAATAAATAACAAAGTTGAAGTTTTATAAGCTCAAATGCTCGCCTTGCTCTGTACTGCAATGCACGTTCGTGACTCTCCTTTTCAAACTCGTTCATCAAAATGAACAAATCTTTTTCCGAGTCAATTCGTTCGTTGAATGAACCAAATGACTCGGAAAAAGATTGAACAGGAGAGTCACACAGAACAGAGCAAGGCGAGCATTTGAGCTTATAAAACTTCAACTTTGTTATTTATTTATTAAACGAGCGATCGTTTCGCTTGATAAGACCTTTATTCATCGTCTGGAATCGTTTAAAGCCCTTTGAACAGTTTGCAGTTTGCACTGAAACTGACTTTTGGACCTTGAACCATTTGGTTCCCACTGAAGTGCATTATATGGAGAAAATCCTGGAATGTTTTCATCAAAAACATTAATTTCTTTTCGACTGAAGAAAGAATGACATGGACATCTTGGATGACATGGGGGTGAGTAAATTATCAGCAAAAGATTTTTCAAAAGTGAACTACAGTAGTCTTTTTTCCCTGAACACATCCCCAAAATTAATACCGAAACCGTGAACCAAAAACCGTGATACAAACTGAAACCGTGAGCTATTTGAAACGTTGCAGCTACAGTGTCACAGTCCAAAGATGATTCAGAGTGAGAGGTTTTTGTGGCAAAAAAGGCCAGTCACTATTCTCGTGAAGACTGTGAGAATTCAGCTGGTAAGGGTAGTACTGTAAGGAGACGAATTCCATGAACTGCGAATGTTGCAGTCACTACCCCATAACTGCAGGGAACAGTTTAAACACAATACGCTAGTTTAACACAATCTTAGCCTCAAGCATAGTGTATGCGGTGACATGTTAATAAATCAAAAAGCAACGCCACTGCCGGTTGCTTTTAGAAGAAAAGAGGTTGCAACATCTATCTATTATCAAAGTATTTATCAGCAATTTACTGGAAATTTAATTAGTAGAAATGTGAATATTTGGTTAGTATGGTGATTTATTGTCTTGTGCCCCTAAAATTTTCAGTTGGGGGCTACTGTGCTCCTAATGAAAAAAGTTAGTCTGGAGGCCTGTATACTCCTCCAAAAACCATGGCTGTATCTAAAAACGAACATCCACTCTTTCCCAGGTCTCCCAAAGGTAAGGCACTACTGTTCACTGTTCACTTTGTTTAAATATTTGTTTTCCCCCAAGCAAAGACTCATTCAATTCATTAAAAGTGACAGTAAAGACATTTATAATTTTACAGAAGAATAAATGATATTCTTTTAAACTTTCTATTTATCAAAAAATCCTTGAAAAAAGTATCACAATTTGCAAAAATATAAGGCATAATACTAGTTAATGTTTCTTGTGCACCAATTCAGCATAATAGAATGATTTCTGAAGGATCATGTGACACCAAAGACTGGAGTAATGATGCTAATAATTGACCTATGGCTAAGCCACGCCCTCAAAAGCGATGAGCCAATCACAGTGTGCAGCTTAACCCAATACACTTGGACATTCTCTGCTTCCATTGAAATGCATTGCAGTTAGTCCGTTTTCATTCGTGTTTTTCTTATCATTTTAAGTTAAAAATGGTCAAACGGTGCGAATGGGGTACATGCAACTCCGACACAATGGTTCCTGAGAGGCTGGGCGACGGTGTGTATTTTTTTACCCTTTCCCAAACCACATCTCAACTGAGATTAAGTTATGCGGTAGACCATAACACCAACTAAACGTGGATAAATTAAACAAGGATGTCTACATCTGTTCTAAGTTAAGTCAACGACATATTTGAACGTTATCTTTAAAGGGGTGATGAACTGAGAAATCAAATTTTCCTCAAGCTTTTGACATCTAAGAGGCCATCATATTATAAGAATATCCTGTAAGTTTAATATACATCCTTAGCCATCGGTCAATTCAGCTCTACATCACATGAATAAATTATATTTTAAAATGTATTAAATTAGAAAACAGTTATTTTAAATCTAAATTATATTTCAAAACATTACATTCAGTAATTATTGATTCCCTATCTAAGGAACTGTTTCCATAGCAGTAGCTGAAGTGTTACTCATTTGTCCTGCACTACTTCCTGCATAGTTATCTATTAATGACGGACCACTATTATTAAGCGTTACAGAGACTTCTTTCAAAAACATTTTTAATCTCACTGAGCCCGAACTTTTGCATGCTAGTGTATGTGAGAGTGTATACGGCTTACTCTGGTCTGGGGTTTCCTGTGGCCTCGCACTTCACCGGGAAGCTCTCTTCGAAAGAGAAGGCGATCACAGAAGCAGGAGACTGCTCTGTAATTGTGGGAAGCTGCTCCACTAGATAAAGAAACAGCCAGAAAGGAAAAATGCTCAGTAAACTGTGGAGGAAAATATGCGTGCAGCAAATGATGATGTGAAATGGCTTTGGTTCAATCGTAATGATTTTCCACAATCAGGTTGGCTGTTTTGATCAATGCATTCAAAACTAAAGGTAAACAAAATGTTTGTTGGAGAACATAATTAGATATCGAATCATTGATTGTGTGGCAAAGCATGAGTTGTTATCAGGCAATGGCAAATGATCTGGTCAAATAATGTCAATGAGAGTTTGTTTGTGGTTTAGAACAGGAAGAAAGCAATGGCTAATGCAGTTTGAGTGTAAAATTGGACATGCACGACTAGAATCATGATGGAATGGCATTGAAACTTACTGTTCATGCGTGCTAAAACTAACAAATCCACCGCAGCAGGGAGAACACATAGAAACAGATGTACAGGGATTTGTTAGAACCATAGATATTACTTCTGTTGAACTTCTAACAAATTAATGAATTGTCAACAAACAATTAAATCCAGGGACCATGACTGATTAAATAAATGTAGAAATGTAGAAAATAAGAAAATTAAGAACAGTGTTGTGTTCCCCTCAGATATCTTTCAGGCCCCAAAGATATATTGTGAATAATTTAACATCAACAAAATACACTTTTATCTGGTTTCCATGGAAACAGCCCCAGAAATAAATTATACCTGCTCTCAGCTTGTGTGAACCTGCATACAAACACCCAGTTTCGAAAAGATTTGTTGTAAGAACAGTGTGCTCACTATGGAAGCATGTTTTCCTCCAAGAGTAAAAATAAAAAAAATAATAGTTGAAATAATAAAATGTCACATAACATTTTGCGATAGAAAAAGAAATTACAATTACGAGATAAAACTCAAAACTATGAGAAATGAAGTTGCAATTATAAGAAATAAAGTTGCAATTATGGGATATGAAGTCACAACTGAGATACATTCATAATTGTAGGATATGTTACAATTGTGGGATGTGAAGATGTAGACATGGATATGAATATTACGTTGCAATTGTGGTGATATACTGTATGAATTTGCATTTTTTGAGAATTGTTGCATTATTGTGATCAAATTGTAAATTTGAGATAAAACGTCACAATTATGAGATATAAAAAATGAATTCTGATATAAAGCCGCAACTGGAATACAAAGTTGTAACTGTCATAGGAAGTCACGTTTGTGCAACTGACAGTCACATTTGTAAGACATGAAGTCACATTTATGAAAAATATAGTCAAAATGTGATATAGAAAGTCAAAATTGATATAAATATATGAATAATAAGTCATAACTGCACTATATGAAAAAGTAATTGAGTTACACAGACATTAGTCAGTGAGATGTGCATTCGCAATTCTGAGATATAAAGTAGAATTTGTAAAATGTGAAGCTGCATCAGTGATATCACAATTGTGTAATATGTTGCAATAATGAGAAATGAAGTCACAGTTGTGAAATAAGTCGCAATTGTGAGAAATAAATTCAAACATGATATAGAAAGCCACAAATGGTATAAATATGAAGTCATAAATTGAAATGAAAAAAATAAGTGGCAATTTCCTTTTTTAAATCTGCGTTGAAAACTGATGGTTCTTCCAGAGAGCATGAAAAACTGGGTAAATTGTACAAACGACTAAACTGAAAAACATGATCATATATATAAACTGGGAGAAGAAATATTACCAGAAAAAAAGTAATTTATTCAGCTTACCATCAAATGGAATATCCAGGGCATTAGTTTGATACCTGCAGCTCATATTAAGGCAAGCGCCCAAAAGTAGGAGGACTTTCCGTAATGACCGCATGACTGGCCACAGCCTCGGAGGTGAGCAAGGACGACAGGGAATGCTGCAGTTTTCAACGAGTCAGTGCATCTCACTCCAACACGAGCTGGTGTCTTGATACCTGCACAAAACACAACACAGCTCTTACTGGCACCCAGACGTCTGCTTCAAACAAGAACACACACACAAGTGTATACACACAGACACCTGAACAACCATATGCTTACGGTCGCCCCACAGCATCACATATAAAAACAACCCTGTCACCTGCGCAGACACGAAAACTTATAAGCATATTCTGCTGCGTGTCTCCTGCTGAGTAACTTGCGTCAATGTCTATCCCAACTTGTATTCACTTGAAAATGCATCTGTGAGAGGAATCTCCATATTAAAGCTCTCTATCACTGAGTCCCTGGAGACATGAATTGTATTTCTGTAAATTGTTTGGCGGTGTATGTGTGACAGGCACATTTTTTTCCTCCCTCTTCCCCTTCATAACGCAGAATTCGAAAAATGAAAACTTAGAGATAAAATAAACGAAGCCCCCCTGCAGTTATGGTAATGCACAGCAGCTGTTCCTGAAATTATTCTGAATTATGAATTCATGGCACTGTATCAGTGACAGATTTTGATTATCTGGATGCAGTAGAGAGAGCAGAACCACAAGGCTGGTAAATCACAAAGCTTGCAGATGTGCCTAATATGCATCTAGAAATACGCCGCTTTGTTATACCTAAGTGGATGAACTTTGAGTTAAATGTCATGTATTCTGCCATTAAAAGCGCACTCTCTTGTGATGTCATGTGTGGTAAGGGATCAGTAGTTGATTTAACCTTTTGGAATCTGGCGCCAGCAAGACATCTGGCCAGAGACAAATGGAGTTCACGCCCATTTTCCCTTCAGATTCATATCAGCGGTGCAATAAAATCGGGGTAACTCTAATGGAGGTCACCTTCCATGACGTACTGGGAATCAGCTATGTACTGTAAAACCAGCAATGCGATGAATTACAGAGATCAGTTGCAGTTGTTCATGGTGCCTGTTGGCCTACAACGCCTAAACGTACTGTATGGTCAGACTGAATCAGCACTGAGTTTGCTAGAAAAATCTGTGGGATTCTGGAAAATGTGAAATGGAGTTGAAAGCTCTTAATGGACGCTGAAAATACCCAAATTTGTCTGCCATATTATTTACTAAAGTGGTCCTATTGTGCTTTTTTGAATACTACCTTTCATGTGTGTAAAAAGTCTGCAATGTTTTAAAGTTCAAAGTACACACCACAAATAAAGTTATTGTCTCCTAAAAGAAACAATCGATTCTGAACTGCCGAAACAAGTCGTCAGTAATTCCATCTCACTTCCCGTTAAAAATAATGTTATTCTACCGACAAATAAAACATAAAAACACAGAAATGAACTATTTTTCATAAATGATATATTTTCATTTATTAAATAATTTCTGTCGGCCGTGCACGATATTAAATATTCAAGTAGTGTGATACAGTGTTCAACTGTGCCTGTTATTTTGACGTCCCCAAGTCACTTAGGATAAAATCTCAATGGCTGTACATCTATTCAAATTTGACAACAGTGTTTCACTGATGCTCAATAGCCGTTTTTATGTAGGCCGGACCCTGAGCTTAGTAGGTCACTTCCTTTTTGACTTTAATTAGTTAAACAAACAATAAAATGTATCAGTGCTTAACTCTGAGAGCAATGTCAGGAAGGAGGCCCGAAGCTCACAAAATACAACTTTATCAGTCATTTCCACCCCTTCAGGAGCTACATTTCCACAGAAAACCAGTGATGACTCTTTGTAACCATATAAGGTAATTTATTCAGGCCTCTAATTAAAGTCAAAAGTGGGATTTGGTCGGTGCACGGCTGTATGTTCTCTTTATTTCAGCTTTTGGGGCCAGTCATGAGTGATAACCGCACTTCACTGCCCCACCAGCTGCTTCAATCACTTCCTTCTTCAACCAGACCCCTGAAGCCCATCCTCCCCTTAATCTTCTCCTCTGCTTAACAAATCCGATAGGAAACACATAGGTCAAACACCAGTAAGCGGAGAAGCAATTGAATAATTGACCACTGTGTGAATGAGTCGATTTCTTTCATTCCTCAGTGGGGGCTCTTGAACTCTGCTCCACATGCCTGCATTTCTTCATAATAGTATTAACTCTGCCAGGAAGCTTTTGTGATTTAGTGCTGGTTATGGCGACCCCTGAGATGACCTCTGTGATGTCACTATAGAGGATGGGTTACTACACCCCACGACTGTCATAATGACAGGCTTTTGGCTACGGTCTGTCGGATTTGGATGTGTTTCTTGGACCCAGAGACAATGCCTGAGGCTCTACCGCTTGCCCTGAGACTGCTTCCACAGATGGCGGCTACCTTTAGTAAGCAGATTAAAATCAAAAGGTAGAGCGTTAAGCTAATTGGACAGTTTGGCACATTACTGGTGGCATATGTTTACCTTCCTGATCCAATACAACATCTCCTGGATTTTAACTACTGCACTAGTTCTATCAGCCCAATTTAAAAGTGCAGTCTTTGATATCATGATATGAGTTCATGATATAAATTACAACTTAATATCAGTGTTTCTGGCACACAAGCAGTTATGGTTTTTGAATGAATGAAAAAAAACTTAATTAGAATGACAACATCTAACTTAAATACATATATTTTTCCTATATAAAAGTGAAAACCTAGTTATCATATTAATGAACAGCAGAATTTAACTTTCTTTTAATATTCTGCAATAAAACAAGATCTGGATTTTTGGAATCCGTGCATTTACATGAACCATTTGATTAAAGCAAATCACCAGAGTCACTGTGACTTTACAGCGCACAATATGAGAGAGACAGTCCTTCATAATAAACCAACTCACTAGAATGTATCAAATATATCAGCATGCGTCAGATCAACCAACTTTGTTCACTCGTAAGTGGATTTGCAAGTAATTGTCAGGAAGACAACGCAGCAACCAAAGGCTGTTCCTCTAAACAGTTTAATCTGTAAGATTCAAGCTAACAAAGTTCATCCCCATACAGCCCACCTAGGAAATACCCTGTAAACAGAAGTGGGACTTTCTTAACAACTATACAGCCTGTTCTTAATCCCCACATCTCAGTCTAATGATACTGGCAAGGGGTAAAAGCTGCCCAGCGTGGGAAGGTCCATGTGAACTCTGACCTGGCACTGCCTGGGCAAAGCGGTCTAGAGCAAGAGCCAGAGAAGGAGGAGAAGGTAGAGACCGGGCAGAGTAAAATCAAGAGCAAGCTTTTCACCCCAACTGACTGATGGCGTCCTGCCCCTCTCGCACTCGCCTCGCCCACCGTGAAGACTCATTAAGCATGACGGATAAGTGTAAATCAGGACGGCGGAAAAAATAGGAAGCAAACTGGCAGTAGAAAGGAGGCATGGTGTGAGTACTTGGCTATGAGGAAAAATAATCACGTCTATTCCTCACACAACAGGATCGGTCACCGCCATCGCCATTTGTCTGATTATTACTGGCCGCATTTAAATAACCAAACAAAAATGCTTCTAATCCCACATGTAGGGATACAAAATGTTCCTGTGCAATACTGGCTGATTACAATACCATTGTTTTTTTTGGTGTTTTTTTTGTTTTAAATTTCTATTATTTTTATTATTATTTATTTACTATATTGGATTTTTAGTACCAAATATTGTATATTTAATGGTTTGGTTAAAAGAGATATCAAAATATAATAGAAAATAATATTGTAGGATTTTCTTAAACAGCACTTTATCTTTAAGAGATGTTCCAAACCCACATGACTTCTGTGAAACAAAAAATAAGATATTTTGAAGAAGAATGAGACATTTTTAAAACCATATGGAAGCTTGTTTCTCACAAATGCGAATTTACTCTATCACACAATTCTGAGAAAAAACCTGCATAATAAAATTACCCTTTTAATTTTATTCAGTGGCAGAAACCAGATTCCATAGATCAGAACAGGTTTGAAACAATATGAAGGTGTGTAAAAGAAGTTCATCCATCCCTTAAAGAGTGGCATGTTGGCACTCTTAATAACTGGCAAGGAAAGAGTGAATGTTGACTATTTACAGTAATTCTACTTCAGATGGTCTCAATACCACAGCATTGTCAATAAGTAGATGGATATCTGCTGTTAAGCACACACTCAGCATTTAAGTGTCTTTCAGTATAAAAAATTAGTGTGCACACTGTTCAGGCAACAAATGGGATTAGCTCCAATCCTGTCTTGTCAAACTGGATTTATATATTCTGACTGAAGAGTTAGATTTGATGGCTGTGTATCCTTCTCAAACCTTTGGATAAAACCCAGATTCTGATGTAATCTCATTCGCACCGTTAAGAACTGAGATTACTAGCACTAAAGAGCTATTAGAACAATTTTCTCATTTTGTGCTCTAATTGGAGTGTTTCCTCCATTTAGTCACTTTAATCTCTTGTTTTGCTTGATAACTGAATGAACAAACACGAAAAAGGTTAAAGTTGGTACATTAAGGCTGCTTACTTTCAGCAGCAAAAGCATATTATATGAAACACTATTCCTGCAATTTTCAGAAGCCATTACTTTAGTGTTATATGATCTGTCATAAATCATTCTAATATGCTGGTCTGCTGCTCAAGAAATATTAATAATAGTTGTTTGTTGCTTTGGGGGAAGCAAATAAAAAAGGAAGGAAATTAATACTTTTATTCAGCATGATGTAAATTAATACTTTTATTCATATGTTTCTCTTAATGTATTGACATGAATAAAACAATTGTTTACATATAGTAAGAGTATAGAGCAATAAAATAAACTATTCATCTGAAAATCAATCTTGGAAGATTGTTGAGATCTCTCAGATACATGAAATTGGAGACATATGAGATTACTGGTGTATTATCTGAATCTTAGGATAAAAATAAAGCAGCAAAAAATAAAAAATAATAATAATCTCATCAAAGGTACAATATGTAAAAATTCAAATAAATAAAATCAAAATATCCAAAAACCACTCGCACAGTGTTATACATTTCTTTCAACTGTGTACTTCCATTATCCTAAATGTTTCCAAGAATTAGTAAATTCTGAGAAATTCACAATTT